TCTCACAGTTGAAGTGTACCTCTGGTGCAAATTACTGACCTCTGTCATCATTTTAAGTTGGGGAACTTGCACAATCGGTGGCTGACTAAATACTTTTTTGCCCCACTGTATTTGTATACACGTTATATTTTTGTCTTCTGTTGTTAATAAATTAATAAATTATGGGGTGTAGTGTAGAATTTTGAGGTGAAAAAATAATTGCATCCACTTTGGAAAAAGGCCGTAACAGGACAAAATGTGGAACAAGTGAAGCACTGTCAATACATTCCAGTTGCACTGTATACGAGACTTAGACAAATGTAGACAAAGTCCACATATTGGCACTGTGAAACTGACTGACATGGCATTAAGGATGAGTTATTTTATTTTTAAGATATTTTCTGAATGTTTATTTGCAACAGTGATGCATTTAAGCACAAACACTGCAATAAACTGAGGTCATTTCTCAAGAAATAATGTACATTTCAAGCTTTGCCTTGAATATGGACATGCCTGATCTGCTGCTGATAAATTGTTTGTGGCTGGTTCAGCTTTTTTTAATGGTGCATAAACCAATCTAATTCATTTGGAAGTGCCAGAAACATTCACCTTTGCAGATATTAGACAAACTTCAGTTCAGTGTTTCTGAGGGTCCTGTGTGCTTTTCTTCACCATTTATCTCACGACTAAACTTCTTGTTCTTCTTTTTATATATCAACTGTGTGCGTGTGATGTCCTGGCGCATGGCTATTTCAGAGCGCTGACGGATGGGCCCGTCAACAGCTCTGATGCTTCGTGACTCACTCACTCCGTCCACTCCACTTGTTCCATCAAACTATGTGTGTCCAGCAGCGTGATGCTTCTCACCTCCCGAAGCCTGTTTCACAGTTGTACCATATCAGAGAGCCAGAGTTGTTCACGACCAAACTTTGTGTGTGAAATGTGAACGGTAGGAGTTTTTATTTTAAGAGTGGGATTGAGGCCAGGGATTGCTAAGTGAAAGAAGTGGTTTTTTGTTCTCTAACTTGAGGTAAGAAAAAGTAGCAACGTCATCAGAATGAGAAGTGGTGACGCTGCAAGCATTAAAATATGTTTGCAACAACAACAGCTTTTTAAAGCATCAAATGCAAGCACAGAAATGAGCCCTTTCATTGTTATATGTTGTTTATTGGATATTTATTACTGATGCATCATGTAGCATACTGTATGTTGTACAGTTCTTGGGAGCTTGGACAGAAAGACTTCTTTAAGTTTCTTGAATACATTTTTACATTTGATGGGGTGAGACAGTAGTTTCACCCGAAACCTCTGCTGATAACGAACCACGCCTTTTTCACACTTTGGTTCATGTGATAAGGCACATGATTAATAGTGAGTCAAAGAGCAACTTAAAGGACTGTCCGTCTTTTGGTTTTAGAACCAATGAAGCCTCTTAAATAAG